GAGGCAAGCCTTTGCTTTGAACAGCATGAAACTGTAACTGATTAAATTCTGTGGCAATTCTCTCCAAAATTTATCCAGTAAAAAGCGGGCTAGTAGAGATAATTAAAAAGAGTTAATTCCTAAAGGTTTTTAATTTCCAAGAATATATCACATGATCAGCAATCCTGATGCTTTGGTTGTGCTTTTCCATAGCCCCCTTGTTATAAGGTAGAAGCTATAGCATCCTTTGTGCCATGAGCTTTTACAGCATGTTCTAGGACAGTGGAAAACTAGAATAGTTAAATATAAGCACTGCCAGGCCCTGACCACAGGGTCCAGCTGAGAAGCAAGAGCTGGCCCAGGCCGGTGTGGGTGTTTACATCTCCTCCCCCAGTCTCTCTCATTCAGGGCCTTCTTCAATTTTAACTTCCCTTCCCTCTCTCTAGGTCTACCCGGTTATTTACATTGCCCTGCTCTGGTCTTCCCTCCTCTACAACTCAAAATTACTGATCTGAATTTTTTAAAAGTCCTCGAAGGTGATTCTGAGCAAGAAACAGCGTAATATCTATTAAAGATGGAATACCACAAAGGAACAGTATTATAGAAAAAGACATTGTGATGTATTTCTATCAAAGGAAGAGTACAAATGGACAAAAATGGAAAGAAAACAGGAAGGCAGGTATGGTGGATGTCGAGTGAGGATAAGCTGGCAGGAGCTGCCAAGGCAGCTGAGGGCAAGAGACTTGGAACAGTCTGAGACAAACAGCTCCCCTGGATGGCTCAGAAGGGATGACCCATCAAATGGGGTCACAAACAGTCGAACATGACTGAGCAACTGAACTGAACTGAGGGCCTACTTCATGCCAGGTATGGGCTGACGGTACCTCAGTGTCAGACAACCCTGCCAGAAGAGTTCCCGTTAGCCTTCCATTGTCAGTGACACCAGGAGTTGAGACACCACGGCTCAGGCTGCCCAGTGGAATATACAGCACAAATCTATCCACGGCACCATGGTGCTTCCCATGGTGTTGGTATGAGCTACTCATTTTCTGAGTCACTCACCTACCTGGCTGATTTAAAATTCAGGCTAGAAAGATAAGAAGACAGTTGCAGTATGTAACAAAGAAAATGGTCATCTTTTTCTAATTTCACAAGCTTTATTTTTCTTATTGACAAATGTTAACTAAATGTGCCTATCCTGTTTCTTAATGATGTAATGCTAGGGTAAGATACATAAGTGGCAATACTCTGGGCATTACTCTGGTCTAAATGAATTTAGGAAAGATGAAAGCTATTTCATATCTTGAAGATCAACAAAATTTTGCCAGTGCTTCTATAAGGCAATTCCAAAGATTAAAATTCTTCCAATAAAATCATGCTCCTCTGATTCCCTGTGAAGTGAGGTATTGGAACTGTGACCCATAACCATAAAGCCTTTATAAGGATGTATTATAAACTTTACCATCTCACACCCTCCACTTTCCACAAGCTACACTCAAAAACACTGAACCATAGACTTCGCTTTTCTTCTTTTTCAGAAATGAATTTTAACTAAAAAAAAAAAATTTAGGCCAGATGTGAAGTATTAATTTATGTAATATTTAGTAAAGAAAATACTTACCTGCTTGCTTCTAGTGCAGATGTTTCTTTAGGATGTTGAGAATTTAAGATTTTTTTCAATTTTCTCAACTGATTGAATAACCTGTATAAGCCGCAACACACATATCTATAAAATAATAATAATCAAAAAACAAAGTTATCATGATATTTCATCTTAATCATCTTATTTCCCCATTCTAAATACAGGGAAATACAAAGCAAAAAGTCAACTTAGAGTATGTAGGGCATTCTATATTTTGAATACTTCTACATAAAACTGAATTCCCAAGAATGCAAATCTTAATTTTAGGTGTCAAGAAGAAGCACATTTTCAATATTCTACTGCAAGTTTATAGTTAAAAAAAGAGGAAAACTAGACTTTTTGTTTTCTCATTTCCCACACTTTTATTCCTTTCTTTTCCTATCTTAAATGAACCTCTCTATAGGTATTACATTTATTTTCTTATGACCCTTTTTCATGTTATAACTGTAGCTTCTGATCATCTTTGTCCTATTTACATGTATATGACACAATTATATGCTTAAGCATCAATTCATCAGACATTATTACACAACATTATCAAAGAAGTTAAGCATTATTAAAAAAAAAACCCATCCTTAAAAGAACAGAAAGATATAAAGTCACTCATTAAACAAATAGTTACCAGAACCTACTGTATAGCACAGGGAATTCTATTCAGTGCTCTGTGGTGACCTAAATGGGAAAGAAATCTAAACATGAGGGGACACATGTGTGTGTGTAACGGATTCACTTTGCTGCACAGCAGAAACTAAAACGTTGTAAAGCAACTATACTCCAATAAAAATTAATTTTAAAAAAGAAAAAATAAAATATGTAAATAGTTACTAAGCCCCTATTGTGCACCTGACATTGTTCCAGACAGGGAGGACATGAGTGAATAGAACAGGCAAAAAGTCCCTGCTCTCACAAAGCTTACAATCTTTTCTAGAAAGGCACTACATTCTTGAAATCTCTGGACAAAAGCTGATAATTTTCTCAAATCATAATCCTATTATATCTAATAATAATGGATATATGTATAATATATGTTATATGTTATTATAATATATATAATAATGGATATATATTATATTATAATGTAATATATATCCATTAAAGTCAGAAAGTAAAATCAAAACATAAAACTGCTAAAAATTAAAAGTAATGCATGCAGATGTATAGTTAAGAAGTGGAAACAAAAGAAGTAAATGTGGCAGAACGAGAGAGCAACACACTAATTTTTCAACCTGCAGCAGAACATTGGAAGGGTTGGCCTTAGAAGGCTTACTTGCTCCCTAATCACTAAAATTTGAACATCTCCTTTACAAGGGTGCTGAGAAATTAGTTTTATGCCTGTTAAACTGTAAAATGCTTCACTGATACCAGTTATTACTGTGTCTTATTCTGGAAAAATTGAGGAATGTTAATTTTGTGTCCATTTGGTTACCTCTAAAATTCTGCTTTATTTCAAATAGTCAACATGACATTATAAGCATAGAAACAGTTTTGGGAGGAAAAAAACTGTTTCATATGGTGAGAAGTTGAGAAGACATGAGGCTTTTAGAGCTGGCATGTAGCATAAGAAATCTACACTTAAAATTTTTAATGCTATCATTAATAAAGCACAAGAAGAATATGCAATATTCTTTGTCTTTTTCTTCAATTAGTTACTTTACCACATCCTTCTTATTAATAGGACTTTAATCAGCCAAGGAGTGAGAAGACCTGGGCTCCAGCTCTGGCTGAACCCCTCAGGAGCCTGGCTGATTGCTGATGTCTAAAGAGAAAGGAAGATCCCACACTCCTCTCTGCAAAGGTACCAAGAGGAGTATATCACATCACATCCATGAAAATGCCATTAGCTCCAAGGTGCTACCATAGCCTGTGTTTAACAGTATGACACCCAAGGATACCTTTTTTCCCCTAATGTCCTCTTATTTAGACATTCGTTTATCTACTGCCCGAATTCCTTCACTGACAGATGACCAAAGACTCTTTAAAAGAATAAAGAAAACGTACTGCAGAAATTGTTTTGTGGCATTATGAAGCTTATACATTAAATTCCATGTACTTAATTATCTTTGGGCCGGTATTATGTAGATATTGACAAAAATACATAATATCAAATACAACTGCTGTTGAGGGTACTCATGATTCGAGGGCAAAATGACACAAAGCCAAGATCACAGAGGAGTAACCGCCAAAAGAATAATAATATTGGGTTAGCAAAAAAGTTAGTTTACTTTTTTACCATAAGATGGCTCCAGTAGTGCTTGGCTGTCTTTCATTTCATTAGAAATAATTTTGTAAGACTGTATTGTGACAGCTGTCATACCAGTATGCATTAAAAAAAAATCAAGACTACTGAATTTTTGTGTAGTCATTTTAATATTAAAGGAGAAAAAAAGCAACATTTTCTGCTTATTATGCTTTATTATTTCAAGAAAGGTAAAAATACAACTGAAATGCAAAGTAAGATTTGTGCAGTGTATGGAGAAGGTGCTGTGACTGACTGAAGTGTCAAAATGGCTTACAAAGTTCTGTGCTGGAGACTTCTCACTGGATAGATTTCACCATGGTTGAGAAGAGCAGTTGAAGTTGACAGCAATCAAATTGAGACCTTAACTGAGAACAATCCATGTTATACCATGCAGGAGATGGCCAACATACTCAAAATATTCAAATCAACTGTTGAACACCATTTGCACCAGCTTGGTTATATGAATCGTTTTGATGTTTGGGTTCCACATAAGTGAAGCGAAAAAAGAACCTTCTTGACTGTATTTCCCCAGGGAATTCTCTACTTAAATGTAACAAAAATGTTTAATTTTTAAAACAAATTGTGACAGGAGAGAGAAAAGTGGATTGCTGTTGTTGTTCAGTTGCTCAGTTGTCCCCGTGGACTGCAGCATGCCAGGCTTCCCTGTCTTTCACTATCTCCCAGAGTTTGCTCAAACTCATGTCCGTTGAGTCGATGATGCCATCCAACCATCTCATCCTCTGTGGATACTGTACAATTATGTGGAATGGAAGAGCTCATGGGGCAAGCAAAATGAGCCACCACAATCATTCGTAAGGCTGCTCTTCATCCACAAGTGATGCTGTGTATATGGTGGGATTGGAAGGGAATTCTCTATAATGAGCTCCTTCTGGAAACCAAATGATTAATTTTAACAAGTACTTGCTGCCAACTAGACAAACTGAAGGCAGCACTAGATGAAAAGCATCTGGAATTAGTCAAGAGAAAATGCATAACTTACATCAGGATAACTCAAGACCACGTTTCTTTGATGACCAGGCAAAAATGGTTACAGCTTGGCTGGGAAGTTCTGATTCATCCACCACAGTTATCAGATTGCACCTTCAGATTTTCACTTATTTTGGTCTTTACAAAATTCTCTTAATGGAAAAATTTCAATTCCCTGAAAGACCATAAAAGACACCTGCAACAGTTCTTTGCTCAAAAATATAAAAAGTTTTGGGAAGATGGAATTATGAAGCTGCCTGAAAAAAACAGCAGAAGGTAGTGGAACAAAACTGTGAATACACTGTTCAATAAAGTTCTTGGTGAAAATGAAAACTGTGTCTTTTATTTTTACTTAAAAACCAGTGGAACTTGCTGGCCAACCCAATACATATACAATCACCGTCATACGTGGTCAGAGTACAGAAAGAATCATCTGAATCAAAGACTAGGAAAATCTGGCACAGGGGATGGAACTCGAGTCTGATTTGGAGAGCCTGTGGAGGCCGACGGTGGAGGAGAGCAGTCACTAGAAGACAGAGGGTGGAAAGGTACACCTGACAGGGCGCACTCAGGGTTGGAGGGTGCACCCGGGTGCACAGCAGCCTTCATTTTGGACAGAAGTAGAAATAAATGGGGGGGGGGAGATTTAGGAGAAGTTTAGACTAGATTCTATCAGGAACTAAACAATCCTTAAGCACTGATACTTCATGCCATGTTGTTCTAAGGATATTACGAATCAAGGAGTGAGGAAAAGAATGGCCAGGAGAAGGCAGCTCATAGGTGGAGAAACATGTCCAGAAGCTAATAAATTAAACAAAATATGAAGAATCAGGCCAAAGCAAAGGTAAAAGAAACGATGAGAATAAACTAGACATGGCAACCCACTCTAGTACTCTTGCCTGGAGAATCCCATGGACAGAGGAGCCTGACAGGCTACAGTCCATGGGGTCCAAGAGTCAGACACGACTTAGCGACTAAACCACCACCACCAGACAAATCACAAAAATTTTATAGAAAAGTGAATTAATTCATTCAATAAACATGAAATGTCTACTAACCGTCAGCCAATGAGGATACAATGATGAATTAGATAGAAACAGTCGTATCCCTCAATGATCTTAGAATCTCAGAGAAGCTTCTTGAGTTGAGGTTAAAAAGGCAGGTGAGGTCTTGGTTGATGAGGAGAAGGGTGGTGATAAAGACAGCTGCAGAGTAAGGGACGGTAGGTGGTGCTGGCAGCTGGCAGTGTAGGCCAAGAGCCTGAAGGCATGAGGGCAGCCGAGGAAGTTCAAGCACAGGTGGGCAGAGTGGAGAGAGCTCAGAGAGAGTGGAAGGTTGATAAAGGATGGGGTTCGGGAAATGTCATGGCTACGGTGGGAGAAGGAAGAGGAGCCCTGAGAAGGAGGCAGGACGGCCGCAGAGGCTGGTGCGGAACCCAGCAGCAGACCAGAAACTCCTCTTCCATTCCAACAAAAGGCACCTAAGTAAGCTTTGTGAAATTCAAACAAGACACGGACTTTCAGACAGTCTGCTGGTTCAAGGCACAGCTCACAACTTAACCTCTCTTACGAATTTTTCTTGCCTACCCTCCTCGGGACTTCTCAGCCCTGACGTTCCCATTGTCCTGCATTTCCTACAGTTTTATCCAAGCAAAACCTCTTTACTACATTATCGACTGAGAGCCCTGCGTGTGCCAGGTACTGTCTCGAGGCAAGGAGCATAAGGCCACGTGGTCTGGCGTGGTCCAGTGCTGACACACACAGGAAGTGATGGTGCGGTGCTTCACAACGAAGGGAGAAGGGAGGGCGAGGCGCCTAGCACAGCCCAGAGGGTGAGGGGAGGGCAGGGCGGCAGTTTTCTGTTGGAGGTGACACCAAAACTCCCTCTCCACTGTTCACCCGGATGAAGTCCCTTTTCTCATGGCTTAGGGGCAGACAGTTCCACTCCCAAGGGAGAGATTTTCTCAGAGAAACTAGGTATTACACGATTTTTATATGACCCTTCAGTTACATCAGGGGTTAAATGGCTGGTATAAACTGGTCCACAAATCTAACTACATATAAAATATTGTCTGGGAAAATACTTGTAAAATGACAAATTTTAAAATATAACTAAGCCAGTTCTAGGCTGGAAACCACTTATACATGGGTGAGGTGGTATTGACAAATTTAAAATCTGAAATACCCTTCTCCTCCTCCCCAACTTTTAAAAGTGTCTACTCTTGAGAATTTGCCATCTTCAAACCAAATATGTTTCTTAGGTTGTAATATCACATGCAAATCATTTACATTTTGCAAGTATTATACTATAATCATGGAACATTAAAAAACACCAACCACAACAATCACAACAATCTAACAGATTAATAAAAGAATTCTTGGAGAAGGCAAACAAGTGTAATATGCTTTAGGGTAGATTGTTTACTGTTATTTGGGGACTTACCAGAACCTCTTCTCATAACTGTCCCAAAGGCACAGAAAGCTGATTGAGGGCCTTGTCCATATCAACCTAAAGGCAAAATCATGTTGGCACAGACACATCAGGGACAGGATTAACAGTGAAGCCTATGCTTAATGATCAAAGCAGTATTAGACCTAGGTTATTCTTTCTGTACAATCATATGCTGCTAGTAACTACGTAACAAAAATGTTATTTTGCCATGAATATTGCTCACTGAATGTGAAAAACGTGTTGATATATTTCCCAAAAATAAGGAAAGTCATAATAAATCAAAAATTCCTATGCACAATTTGCCTTTGGATGAAATTTTAAATGACTTAAAAAACTAATAGGGAAATAGCTATTCCTATCTCTGTTGTTTATGATGTTCAACCAGCTGATATGAAAGTCTGATGGACTATATCTCTCCTAAGCATTATTACAACCCTTCAGAAAAATCCAAATTAAATAGGCTGGAAATAAAATTTTCAGGATTTCTAATCCTACTGGAACATTTATCTTAGTGGTGTATTTCCCAAAAGCAAATATGGCTCATTTTTCTCAGTGCTTCCTGAAATTCCCATAGAGATGGCTATTTCCATACCTCTTTTGACAAACAGACTTAAAAACAAAATATGAACAAGACTTTCACAAGTATGAAAACTCAAGTATTTCTAAACAACTTTTCCAAGTAATTGATATGCTTCTTATAAACAATTCCTACATTTTTATAAAATGTATAAAAATAGGCTTCTTAATGATCAATATTGGCCAATGTTTTTTTCAACCTATCTCTGGCTAGCACATGTACCTGAAAGTAAATGAAACATTTCCTTAAGAAGAGTTAGTTGATATCTGCTCTCAGAAATTAGTCTAAACTGGTGAGATTTCATGGGAATCAATTAGGAACTAACAAAAACAAACACTCTTGGTATTGCTATCCTTTACTTTTCACCACTTCTTAGTAAGTCATTCAAAAAATAATCAAACTAAACTAAAAACAAAAAATGTGTATCAAGAAAGTTAACTCCTTTATTAATCAAGATTAGCAATCCCTTCAAGTTTCTGGGGAAGAAAAATAACTAAAAGGTTTCTAAAAAGACTCAGAGCTGTTAAGAATAAACATGAGTGAGAAAAAGTGTGCAGTACATGTGTAAATACACTGACAGGTAGGAACTGTGGATTTCAAGTTTACCAGGTTTGTTGACAGGTTGACAAAGTCTGCATAGTCCTTGTTGATGAGCTCAACCATGGCTGTCTTAAGCAGCTTATAGTAGAGCTCCAGGTCATCTCGGAGTGCTTCCAGCTGGACTCGCTTCCGACAGTCAGACACAAAGTGATCGACATCAAAGTCTTCCTGAAAATAAAACCAGAAAAAAGAATTATTGCAACAATATCATATTTTACATATACAAATAAAAGGAGACAGAACAACAGAGAAACACCATTCTATTCATTTGAAAGGTTAACTGCTGTCAGGATAAAGCACTTTAGAACACACAGGACAGAAAGGTGCTCACACACTGTCAAGGTGCCAAGGGGGAGGCCCCTTGACCAAGAGCATTCTCTCCTGCTGCCTAAATTCTAAAAGGGATTTCATTTGTTTTTAACTACACACATTAAATAGGCTCTTCTCAGAACAGAAACAGTTCCTTTTCCCGTAAGTTTTAAAAGTAACAAATATTCACTGTGACAATCTCAACCTATAAATAAAGCCATCCCTCAGCATCCCTGGGGGCCTGTTTTCAGGACCCCCAAAGACACCAAAATCTAGGTATGTCCTAGTCTCTAAAATAAAATGGCACAGTATTTACATACACTTTAAATCATGTCTAGATTACATAATACCTAATTGTAAGGCTGCCAGGGCTAACGCCATGACAGGCAGCCTAGATCAGGAGTAGGCCTGATTTTCCAGGGTAACATGATTATCAGGCCACCTGAAGCCAGCCAATCAACATGCGTCTAGTAAGAAAGAGGGAACCTATCAGGGGAAAGCTGAAAAAGCCCACGAATGCCCAAGTTTGAAAAAAAGCCCGCAAAGGTTTGGGCCAATAAGATTGCTTTGCAAACATGTAACCAATCTGCTTAAGCCAGCTACCAACTGCTTATGCACACCCTATAAATTTGGATAACAGCGTGGGCTCAGGGCTCTCTGACCATGCACCACTGAGTTGGTTGCAGCAGGAGCCCTGACTCGAGTCAGCAATAAACTTCCCTTTTTTTGCGTGTTGCATTGTCTTGGAAGCCTTCTCTCTTCCCGCTCGGGGATTCGGACATCAGGCATAACACTAATAAAATGTAAATGTTATATAGATGATTGAAAATACTATGTAAATAGTTGCCAACTATTTGTCACAGCAAATTCAAATTTTGTGTTTTGAAACTTTCTGGAATTTTTTTCCCAAATATTTTCACTGTGAGGATGGATGAGGAAACATCCATCACACAGTTACAAATTTCCTTTTCTTGCTATGATAAATTTTAAGATTTACTCTCTTAAACTTTCAAATATACAGTACACTATTATTAACTATAGTCACCATACTATACATCACATCCCCATGATGTATTTAACTAATTAACTAGAAGTCTCTACCATTTGACTCCTTCACCCATTTTGTCCATTCCCCACTCCCTGCTCTGGCAACCACCAATCTGTTCTCAGTACCTTTGAGTTAATTTTTGTTTTGTTTTTTAGATTTCACATAAAAGTGAGATCATGATCATCTTTCTCTAACTGATGTCATGTAGCATTAATGCCCTCAAGGTCCATCCACGTTGCCACAAATGGCAAGATTTATTTCTTTTTTAAAAATATTTTTATCTATTATTTTTGGTTGTGCTGCATCTTCATTGCTGCATGCGGGCTTTCTCTAGTTGTGGCGAGCAGGGGCTACTCTGTGTTGCGGTTTGCAGACTTCTCATTGTGGTGGTTTCTCTTGTGGGCAACGGACTCTAGAGCACAGGCACAGCAACTGTGGCTCAGAGGCTCATCTGCTCTGTGGCATGTTGAATCTGCCCGGACCAGGGATCAAATCTGTGTCCCCTGAATTGGCAAGCAGATTCTGAGCCACTGTCCTGTTGTAGAAACCAGTACTCGAGAAACCAAGCACCACACTCGGAGAGTTGGAGAGCTCACGTTTATTATGCCAGCGGGCCCAGAGCAGTTAACACTCTAAGCTCTGAGCCCCAAACAAAGGGGTTACAGAGTTTTCATAGACCGTAGTGGGCAACACTAGCTGCTAATAGGGCTGGTTTAAACGAAGTTTCATGTGCACGGGAACAGCGGTCAAGATGGTGAAAGGTTGTTGCTGAATGATAAGACACAGGGATTCTTGGCCTCCGGAGGAGATGAATTCAATCCGAGGCCAGAGACGAGGCTGGATCGCTCAGAGCTTTTGTGTAATAAAGCTTTATTAAAGTATAAAGGAGATAGAGAAAGCTTCTGACATAGGCATCAGAAGGGGGCAAAAGAGTACCCCCCTCCTAGTCTTTAGCTGTATGTTATATACTCACTCACAGTCTGTTAATGAAAAGAAAGGAGTGTCATAAAATTTAGAATGGCACCAGATAATTCATCCCTGGCCATAAAACGGTTGACTTGAATCTTGTAGAAGGGCAAAATACCAGCAAACAGTTTCGTTTACATAGATTAGGGGAACAATACCTGAGTGAGTAAATTAGGCTGTTCGGTGGAGCCAACTTGAAGACAGAGTCTGGGATACATTAACATAGCTTAAGATAACATTTTCATAAGAAAAAGAAATGTATTGGTTAACTCAAGGTTTGAGAGTAGTTAGCTTCAGGTGAAACCAGGTGTCATGGCAACACAGCATTTTAAGAGAAACCTCCTTTTAAATTTGTATAGAGAAGAAAAAAATATCACTGGTTTTTTTCCTCCTGCCACTTAAGAGAGATAAAAATGTCTGGCACTTGCAGCCTCTTTCCTCTGTTTGGAGACCCCTGGCCTTCCTGCCTGTTACCCTCTCAATGGGGAGGGGAATGCCTGACCTTTATACGGAAAGGCATGATTAAGCAGCTTTACAGGGGCTGGGGAATTGCAAAGAGCAGAACAAGGGTGGTGAGATAAGCTCCAGTTTCTAGTATTTTAAGTCCCCACTTTCTGAGACTATCTGACCTACGTGATCCAGACTTTGCAAGGAGCAAGCTGAGTTACACAGGCAGAACGAGCAGGAGGTTATGTAAAATTTTAACTTTTCCTTTTCAGTACCACCAGGGGAATCTAGATTTATTTCCTTTTCGTGGCTGAATAATATTCTTCTGCGTGTGTGTGGTATGTGTATATCATGGTTTCTTTATCTATTCATCTATCGATGGATACTAAGCCTGCTTCCATGTCTTGACTATTGCAAATAATACTGCAGTGAACACTGGGGACTTACAAGTGTAAGCCTCACTGGCCACCAAAGCCAGGTGACCTAGAGTTGTCTCTGGGCAGCAACTGCAAACATCAGGGCACCAGATAAGTACACAAGTTCCTTTCTAGGAGATACTGTCTAGCTGGAATGAGGCAGAGAGAGCAAAGACAGCTCCTGCCAGCCTCCAAGCCCCTAGAGAGTGTTAAATGAGAGGCTGGCCCCTCAGGCTGATACTTTAAGACAAACAAGACTCACAGAAAGTCTGGGCCCTTTTCAGCCACTGTTCCTGTGCCAAGCCCCAGGAGGGTGACCAAGTTCATGCTGCCCTTCAAAAGCTGTTTCTCAGATCATGAGCCTGGTGGGTCTTGCAGATGCCAGTTCCACTGACTTTCAAAGGTAGATGTTTGGGGGCTCATCTTCCAGGTGCAAGTCTTTAAACGAGGGGTGTCAAGTTTAGCATTCAGACACTTCACTTCTCAGGGAGCAGCTGGGGATGGTAGCTTCCTTCCAATTGTGGGTCACCATGCTGGCAGTGAGGTAGAGGGTGAGACCATGTCTTAGCCTCTCCTATCCACTTTGATGTGGGTTGTTTGCCAGATGTGCAGGAGTTGCTCAGAGGAGGAAACTATTCCAGTATAGGAAACTATACTGATTTCATGTGTCCATGGGAGGAGGTAAGTATTGTAGGATCCTCCTTGAATGAACCTGTTGACCTTTTTCTATGTTCACACACACACAAACACACACACATACACAGAATCTTAATAAACCTTTTCTAAGCTATTTTTCTCCTTTTACATGTAACTTCAATGTCTTTTCATAATACATATTAATTGGTATTGACATTTTATATGGATGTTGAGTATTCAACTGAACAGATGTTCAAAATCTTTCAAAACCAACTTCCAAGCATTGTTCACAGAATCATTATGCCCTGTTTCCCTTTATAACATTCTGATGCCCCTGGTAGGCACACAGACATACAGATAGCAAATTACTGTCTACTTATGACTTTGGTACTAACTGAGCCATTTAGTTATCAAGTATCAGGTATGATGATTCCCAAACTTGTTAAGGCCACTTACACTTATCATCAAAATTACATAATTTTATTAAACATCATATAAACCAACAAAATATAAGTACAAAATGATAACTGTTTTCATGAAAACTAAGGCAGATGCTTTGCAAAGACCTGATACTGAGAAACTGATAAGAAAACTTTTGCTGAATTATATTAAATATATGCGATGACCATGAACCAGGTAGTGCTGTGGGGAGGAGGATCATACAAATCTTGAAGGATTCTATACCAGATTCTCTGCAAATGCCTCAGGGTTCTCATTCAACTTAAAGTACAACAAAAAAATCTAATTCACAGACAGATTTTTCAGAGAAAAGAGTTTCACGCCACATCAATGTAGAACAAATGTACACATATGTTAAGGACAACATGCACCATTCCATAGGAGTACTTATAAAAACTGACTTTCTTAATTAATCACCCAAACACCTGCTATAATAGTGTCAGATAAGAGATTTCTTACCAAACTATAATTTCACAGTCACCTAGTGAAAAACCATCAGTTTCTTTTACTTCTTGAGACTACCTCAGATAACACCTTAGACTCACAGTTACACAACAGTCACAGAAAGAATGTGAGGGCAGGACTCAGCCTGACATCTTGGCCTTGGTACTGACCAGCTGTATGACTCTACGCAGAGCACTTGGCTGGTTACTTTGAAAGTATGAACTTCAAATGGATGGCATTCTAAATCATGTAACTTGAGCTTTAATAAATGCTCTTAGGCACTATCAGTGCTCAGTGTGCCAATTACATACTTGCTCTTGGATAAACAAATGCTGCCCTGCACAAGAGAAGATGCCTGAGGACATCTGTGAATATCGGATCAGGCAGCTTTTGCTATGACAGCAAACAACTTCAAACTTGCAGTGCCATGTAGTAACTTCCAC